ACATGACGGTGGTTGGATGAGTAGTATACATCCATACAAGAGGCGCGTTCCTTAGCCGTTGGCTTTGTTGCCTGCTGCTGCTGCAGCAGATTGCCAATTGGATCAGATCACCGCGCAGCTGGCACACAATCCGTTGATGATGGTCCCAGCTGCAAATAATGTGCATTGTAGCCCACCTAGCACCAGTCCCGGGGGGGGGGGGCTTTTTCGACACCCTCTAGTGCTGTCTTTGGGAAGTAAATAGAGTGATATGCTGTCGTCAACTCCAGACACAAAACTCATAGGCTAAACAGCAAATCAACCTTGAGAGTTTACGATCGTGCAAAACCAGCGTAAGACCTCTGAGATCAGCCTCGGCTCAGCAGCATTCGATTTGATTTTGCAATGCTTCCATGAAGCAGGAAACGGGTCATTCCCAATGACGCTGACAAATTCGTGAACCCCTCGCTCGGGTTGTCGGGCTTTAATAACAAGTACCCAGGATCCGAACACGAGTGCAATAGATGTTGAGAACCTTGGAACTTATTCTCCAAGCCAGATCACTCGGAGAGAAGAGGCCAACGATTGGGTTTAATGGTAGGTAGGTTGATAGGTTCCCGGGAGCGGAAGACGGGAAAATCGGCGAATCTCCTCCGTTTGTCCAAGAGTAAACACTCTCTTAGTGTCCAGCAAAATTAACAAATCTTGTGGTTAATGGGAACCGAAAACTTGGGGTTTCAACGTTGAAACATGGGCGCAATCAAATGGTACATCGTTGAGGTGACAAGCTCAAGATCGGATAAATATACAGTTGTATAACTATAGTTAACAGCTCAAAAACCACAAATCACCATCTCGACCGATTGACGGCATCCGAAACTTCAAAAGGAGTGTCAACTACTAGCTACTGTACTCTGTACAGAGAATATATCTCATCCCAGCTATGCCCCCTCCCAAGATCACTCTATATCTGGACATTGTCAGTCCTTTTGCTTATATTGCATATTATGTTACCAGAGTATGTCGATTAACTACAAGTGAGAAGGTTGCCGCAATATGTTTTCATGATACGCATTGATACTGTGAATGATTTGCCTACACCCGACATCAACAGAATACTTAAGCAGCGTCATGCATCTCCTTGACAAATAACTATATTTATTCTAAAAATAACGTCACTGATTTCACCTCCATAGCACTCCTCCGTCTTCGCAAAATGTGAAATGACCTATGTCCCCGTCTTCCTCGGTGGAATATTAAAGGCATGCAACAACCCTTCGCCCATTAACATCAAAAGTACGTTTGCTCCAGCTTTCATGACTTCACTTTATTCGTTAGAAACTAACCCTGGCTCACCCAAACAGACAAAGGCACATGGACAAACATTGAGCGAAAGCGCTGGGCGAAACACCTCAATGTGCCTATGTATCCTACTTCTCCTGACGGATTCCCCATTTTGACATTGAGTGTATGTCGATTTTCTCCCCTTGGAACTATTGCTATCTTAAATCCGGGGCAGAAACAGAACAAATGCAAAGCAAAAAAAAAAAAAAAAATGAAAAATGACTGATAAATTTCAAATAGGTCCAACGGGCCCTCTGCGCCATTCCAGAAGCAAAATTACCATCCTGCTTCGATGCCTTATACAAGGCGTTTTGGGTCGAAGGCAACTCAAAGATCAACAACCCAGAAACTTACCTCCCCGTTCTAGAATCTGCTGTGGGCAAGGAGATTGCCGAAGATGCGCTGGCTAAGGTACGTACTCTAACAAAAAAAAAAAAAAAAAAAAAAAAAAAAATTGGAAGGGGATAATGAGGGAAGTTATGTTGTGGAAAAATTGATCCCATTTATTCTCAAAAACTGCTGTATAACTGAAAGAGATTTCAAATATTAGTCGTCTACACAAGCCATGAAGGACCGTTTGATCGCCAATAGCGACAAGGCTGTGGAAAGCGGCTCCTTTGGCCTTCCTTGGTTCGAATGTACCAACGGCCGCGGGGAGACTGAGTGTTTTTGGGGAGTTGACCATATGGGCCAGGTTGCGGCATTTTTAGACCTGGATACCACATCTGACAAGGGATTTAAGGCTATGATGTGAAAAATGAAAATGAGATGGCGATCGGGTGTTCTCTCTACGAATACTTAAATAACATGAACCTATGTGTAGATGTATGTATGTATGCATCTGTGCCAATTTTTAAAACCCTCCAGCGGCTCTAAGAAGCAGCGTCGTTATGTTTAGTTTCCTCTTGATACCCTAGCAAAAATCAGCCGTCAATTCATATGGCTTACAGTAGCCAGCAATTCGGGGAGTGATGTTTTATCGGGCCAGAAGAACTAGATAGAATAATGCACACACACACACACACACACACACAAAAAAAAAAAAAAAAAAAAAAGAGCAATCATTTCATCTACCATATATCCCAGAAGGTATTTACATAAATCGAGAAGAGGAGAAGAAAGAGCAAAATAAAGTAAAGGGGCACTTGTGAAAAGCTAGAAAGGTGCCGCGAAATTCAAAAGCTATTTTCCGTTTCCTTACTACTCACACATCGGTAGACATGGAGTGTAAAGGGATGATCAATGGTGTGTAAATCTACATCCTGCCAAAGTCAGGTGAAAATTGGAATTGGGTATCTATAACGGTGTAAGAACCGGGACTGAAGAGTGAAAGAAAAACAAAATGCGGGTCACTCATTGCTGGCCTCACGAGAACAACACTGTGACAAGTTCGTCCAATTCGGTAATCATGTCAGTATATTGGTCATGGTTCTCTCTCCGGAGGGTTTGCGCCTGATGATGGAGGTGGGCCGTCACACTCAGTTGATTGTGAAATCTGCCCCGGCGATGTAAGGGGTATGTTCCGCGTGGGATAAGGCATTTCTTGAATTGGGTCATCATGGCGTTGCTCGTGTTGCAGACTTTGTTGGATATTGTCATTTTCATTTTCAGGCTGGTGGACAAATGGTCAGCAAATGTCAGCGAATGAAGATATAGAGACAGGAAAACGTACCCCTCGATAATCTGTATTTATAGATAGTCCACGTGATCGTGCCAGCTTTTGCGCAGCCTGTCGTTTCCGCTCGATCTCTATTTCTTCGTCATATTGAGCTTGCTCCTCCTCTCTCTTAAGGTCTAGCATAGAGGGAATTTGCATAGTTTCTATCATTTCACCATTAGGCGACGGTGACCGTGGGGATGTTGAAGAGGGATTTCTTTTAGAATTCCTCCTTCGTTTCCCTTCCGCCTTGCCGGATATTCTCGAATCTTTGGATGAAAAGGTAGTTTTCATCGAAGTTCCGGAAGCAGCCATACTGGCGGAAGGCGGTTCTTGCGATCCCGAGCCCCCAGTGTCGCGACGGCTCAGTGTCATTGCAAACTCATCATCAAGAGGAACAGCGTCTTCTTCTTCACTAGGTATCAGATCACCCCGTGAGCTTAAGGAGTTGCTTGTTCCACGCGATGACTGTGTTTCACTCCTCGATCTCGTTTGCATCGGAGGTAGACCTTCATCATCTTTCGATCCCTCCTGGTCACTCCCATCGCTCCCCTCAATTAAAGGTTCCGCCTCCAAAGTATCCCGTCGTACACCTCCTGGGTTTTCTTGCAAGTCGGCCGCAGAAGGCCTGTATCTTATTCCTCTCGCCCCTATCCGCCAGGAAAAGCGTTCCAAAAATCCAAGGAAAGAAGAACTAGGTATAACAGTGGGGTCGTGTCTTTCTTCATTTGGCAACCCAGTATTTTTTCGAAGGCCACCACGAGCACCATAGCTCATGCGGCGGTTACTTCGTGGCTGCTCAGCTGAGCTTCGTGCCCCACCACTTCCAGCCAGAAGCCTATCCAATTCATCGTTTCCCCAGCCTAACAATGCATCTCCCGTAGCATCCTCATCGTAGTCCCAGTCATCATAGAAATCAAAGTTGAGCTCTGCTCGACCTCTTGACCTGCCACGTCTACGACGACGTAACTGGTCCTCGCGGCTGGGGAAACAACATGATGTACAGGACTGAACGTTGTTCTTTATGCTCGTAAAGCACGGGCCGATATAGTTATGCGAAAAGGTATAGATGCCTTCTTGGGCAGTTTCATTGGCGGATTCGAGGTTCTGAGAGATCTGGTTGATGGTTTGGCGGAATCGGGGATCGCTTGGGCGCATCATGTTTGCGGTGTTTGAAGTGAGGCACAAGATGATGCCGCAGCCTGTATCGACTGGTGATCAGACTTGCAGGAACATCAGTTTGTTGTTGTTGTTGTTGTTGTTGTTGTTGTTGTTGTTGTTGTTGTCAATGGGCGCAGAGATGATTCAATATTCAAAGCGCAGGGTAAGATTATGTGCAATGGCAAGTAGCGGCATCTTCTGCACCGACAGCTGAATCTCCCCTAATGAAGAAGATGGTGAAGGGGAAGTTGGAAGCCTACAAGATTGAAGACCGTCATTGTTTTGTCGTTGTCATTCCTTGTTCGTTTAAGCGCAAAGCGTCATGGATGATGCCGCAGATTGAGGCTTGGGCCTGGGCTAAACCTGCTACGGTATCCAAATATAGCGCGGCTCGACTTCAAAGCACGTGATCTACCACTTTGCCAATACTTTTGTGCTATTGAGGATAACTAACAAAGGCCTTAAGAGCTTGAACCTTAATTTTTTTTATCCATTCGCGGGATGATATTAGCCGGTGCTGCGATTGTATTTTGTGAGCTCTCATCGCATTCTATATCTCCCATAGCTTTATTTTCAAAAGCAGTGTTCGGAGATTTCCTTCTCTTTCATCAAATCCATGGCTCATTTTGGATATAGTGGGCAGCATTATGTATCTCAAGGAAATATATTCGAGACATAGTAAATATATTCAATAAGGAAACTTCATTTTTTAGCGGTCCAAAAGCCTTTTTCTTACGGCAAGGTTTTCTGCTTTAGCTGCAGCTTATTCACCGGTATCACGAATGTTCCAACGCAGATTGGCTCTACAAGAGTGCAAATAGAGATACCCCATTTTACCACCAAATAGATCCCGGATAAGTCACCCTGAGGATTGGTTTGCGAAGATGCCTTGCTTTTGTGCGAGTGAAGCAGTGAGATATCCGATATCCCCTCTCACGACCATAGCCAAACAGAGAATGGATGATGGATATAGTGATTTTGGTTTTGGAGGGAAACCAACGGCAGAACGCCGGCTCGACGTTGTCGTTTGGGTTGCTTCTGGAGGATCGAGCTGAAAGGCAGGATACTCACCAGGCGGATATTTACAATATTTGACTCTTACATCGGCATTTGTGCAGTTGCTTTCATGATTGTTTGAGGTCCCTAAAGACGATTGAGCAGGAAGTTTTGACGAAGTGTTTTGTTTCTCCTGTTGCATTGTGTCAACTTTCGCAGCCGTGCAGAAGAGGCGAACGCAAGAAAATAGTTTTCCAAATCCAGTGATGAAATTGGATACGGGACGCAACGAAAAAGCGAGCGAGCCATATACCCGTAATCACTTTTCCAAAGGCCATCCATCAGGATAGTATATGATGCCCAGCCATACGACAATCCCCCCTGAACATGTCGGCGATCGGTATCGCGAATCCAATTGATGCCTGCATGGTGCTTCATATAAGAGGACCGTAGCATGAAGCCAATGGATTTGCATAAATATCGCTTCCGCCAAGCGCATGCCGAGTTAACCAGTGACTAACTTAGGTAGCCACTAGAGAATGGCAAATGACCAATTTGTTAAGTTCTGATTGAAGAAATCCCTTGAAGCTGTTAACAGCAAACCATATCTAGCAAGACTATTCTAAAGTTGTTTGGTAGTTGAACAAACGTTGGTTTGATATTAGACGTAGTTAATTTGTGCTTGGACACAGGGTTTGCTCTGTTTGCATCTTGGTCAAACCTGTCAAACCTCATTTCGCATTGAAAGGGTTGATGCTCTCTCTCTTTGCTTGAGAATGATCAGAAACAATCAAGAAGAAGCAGTGTAGCAAAAAACAGAAACTCTGTGTATTCAATCTAATAGTTAAATGTTACATTCCTGTGCAATTATTGTATAGAAGCAAGCATCTGACCTTAACAAAGAAGCTATGTCATGCTGTTCAGACATTGAAGATTTACACTAATTTTGTCATCACACTGGAGCTATGCCGCATTATATCCGATTTCTCAAGCCCCCCAAAATAGTGGTGTCTTCCAAAGGCGAGTGCTTCATTGAAACATTGGTCACTATCACGACAGACCTGGGGGACTCGTTCCTTGCAGAAGACGCTAAACTTATCTCCATTTTGCAGTTTACCAACATCAGCAGCGGGATACCAACTCCATTCGAGGAGACATTCTCATGGAAAGCCGGGAATCGAGAATTGAAGATTGTTTTGGGTCCGTGCCAGCTTCCCGTTGCGAATCAGGCTGCTAGACTGAGTGTCGGGGATGCCAGTGGTGGTCTTGTTGACCGTTTGGAGCCGTCCAAAGCTCCAAGCATTGTTACCGCCTGGAGTGCTGAGTTTAGAATGAATGGTGCTCTGCGGGCTGATCGGCTAGTTGAGAGGCGGTTCAAACTGGAAATTGGACCTCAGTTAAGAACGTGGGAAGAGACTGGGAATAGCATTGCGCGGCATATTTGGTAAGTCCAAGAGATATTATCCGCCCTGTCTGCTTCCATACTAGGTGGCTGGTTGGTCGCGTATAGTTCTGTAAATACTCCGTACGAAGCGCTGTCCATACATATACATACCTGCTTCATAATACATCTAACTTGGAGAAAAATAAATACAGGGACGCCGCGCTGGGATGTGTGATGGAAATTCAGAATGCATACATGCGCCGGGAAGGATCAATTCCACAACTTCAAGAGCTATTCTATGAGCGAAAAACCAGGGAACTTCGCGTCATCGAATTAGGCACTGGCTGCGGGATTGTCGGAATTTCAATAGCCCAGATAGTACCCCACAGCTTTGTACTGCTAACCGACCTGGAAGAGGTCCAGGATATCGTGGGACGCAATTTGGAATGTGCTTCTTTTGCGAGTTTTTCGGCTGCGCGATTTCAGGTGCTTGACTGGGATCAACGTGTACCTGATGACATCGCTAAACACACTTATGACCTGATTCTTGTGTCGGATTGCACGTATAATGCGGACAGTCTTCCAGTCCTAGTTCGCATGCTTACAACTCTGGTACAAATATCACGTACCGCAATAGTGCTGGTGTCTATGAAAAAACGTCATGACAGTGAAGATTCGTTCTTTGACCTAATGAAAACCGCGAGCTTTGAAATCAACAATCGCACTGTTATCCCGCTGCCTAGCCTAGGTTCAGAAAATGAGTCGGTCGATATCGAGCTCTATGCGTTCTGTAAAGATTCCCCGGTCGATAGTTGATTATGCGGACTGTTGCTTCAGGGTTCCGCAGCCTGCATTTGCTCTGCAGCGGGGGAGGAAGGGTCTTTTAGAGATTACGACATCGGGCAATAATAGTGAACAACCAGATGGCTGATTGATCTCTGGACGAGAAAATCCCTCATATATGTGAACTGAGCCATAGCCTTCTCTCTCTCTCTCTCTCTCTCTCTTTTTTTTTTTTTTTTTTTTTTTTAAAGTTCCTGGATTGCTGATAGATGGAGCCACGACTGGCTGCATGGAGGCCAAAAATCGCAGCGCGAGAGACAAGAGAAAAAGAAAGCGAAATCCCTGGTCAGGACTCAGAACATGGAAAATTTGCTACGATTTGTCGCTCACCGCTCCGTTCTCGCAGCTTACATAGATATTCTTAAGAAGACTAAGTTAGTTATACGAAGGGTCTGGATTGGAGGGAAACGATGAATGTTTTTGTTGTTTTTGTTGAAGTCGCAGTGTGGCTGCCTGCGGAGCTGGCGGTTCTAGTCTACAACCATACAGGAGGGCGTATTATTTTTTAAACAGGACTGGAACACACGAATTGCAAATCGCAGAATCTCTGGCAGAGGTGACACGCTCTGCATGTCTGCTCCTGTTGATCGTCGTCTCGGTTTCCTGCAAAGCGGCTGCAAGACTGATAAACTCTTCCTCCCGAAAAAAAAAAAAAAGGAAAAGAAAAGAAAAGAAAAGAAAGAGAAAGAGAAAAAAAATAATTGAGGAATACTTGATAGCAATGATAATATGCATCTCTTGCGTCCAAGATATGCCGAAGTGAAGATAGCAAGTTGTCATTATTGTTTGTTAGCAACCCTCAATTACAAGTAATGGATCCCGCTGGAACTCTAAAAAAACTACCACGGCGTCTCAACTCCTTTTGCCACGCCCTATCCCAATGGATGGATGTGCTCAGGTTCTTCCTGGGAGGGGTTTCCAAGACCCAATAATGATACTCGCTGCCACGTCCTATGATCCAACAAATATCCACGATCCGGGTCAAGGAAGTGGAGATGATACATACAAGGACCTATTTTATTATTATTTCTCATAACTAGGACTCTTCCTGGTTCCGTCAGCAGCAGTCTTTTAGCCCGGACGCCGAAGTTCTATATAGTTTGTAACATAACTAACCATGGGGCAGCGCAGGCAAGGGGAAGCATGGAACGAAAGCCCGTTTCGTTGAATTTGTTCCGTACTCGACTGAATTAGAATTTCCCAATTTCCAGGTTGCATAGATGCTTGCGCAGGCCATAGTTACGGACGGCAAGGTACAAATATGGTGTCTGGTTGGCTGGCTACAGAAGTGTTCCAGCCACACTGTTTGTTCCTTTGATTCTGTAATTCTGTAACTAGCTCTTTTGTAAATTTTAATTTTGCGACTGTTTCTGCCCACTTTCTGCCCTTTTTATCCTTTTTCCGTTTGGCGGATGCTGAGACTTCGGGCGCGTTTCTGTTCCCACACAAACTCGTCAACCACAAAAAACTCAACTTTCTGTCCCACACGCCCGCCTTTTTTCCTTCTAACGACATCAACCTCCACTTCAACCATTTTGATAGACACCACCAAACACATCATTACACTTCGCTGTGATTGTCTTGAACATCCCCTCATCTCCCTTCTGGCGTGCGTCAGCTACATATATTAATATATCTGTCGAGTCCGCCGCCTGCCCTCCAGCTTGCTTAACCATCTATTTTTCACCCAACTTGAACACCTTTGACAAGACAACAAGGTGTCCACTTTTAAAATTCAAGGTGAGTTCTCTCTTCGGATGGGTTGAATTAGTCGATGACAGCAGCCATCCTGTGCCACTCGTAATGAAAGCTGTGCAACTGCACGCTGTCCTGGATGCTCTGTTTTCTTCCCGTTGCACCACATCCCACCCGTCATCTGCTTGCTTGAAGAACCCGTTTGTCTGATGTGTGTGCTTAGCCCTATCTTGACCTCGCTTCCGCAACTTTTCTCACAGAGAACCTTCGCCTTTGGGACAAACACCAAAGGCACCCTGCCCACAACGGCTTCAGAAGCCGCCGGATCCTTTTACCGTCCTCATTCTGCTCCTCTACCTTTTGCTAGCGTCTCAATACTTTTAACTGCTCACTGGGCTCTCCTACGGAAAGTTCTTCGGAACCCACCTTCTGTGCTTTTCGTTCTCTCTGCCCACAACCCCCTTGTTGCCCAAAAATTTAAGCTGCCGCATAGGACTTCTCTACAGGTTCTTCCTCTTCAGGAGGAAGAGTCGAGGAGGCTAGGTCCAGTCAATTTCGGTTGTGTTGAAACATTTCGACCTCCCTAACACGAGCTCTTCTCCACGCCTTTAGAGCATCATCTATCAATCCCTCCTTAGAGGGGAAAACAACCTCTATATCAATTCACTATACGTGCACGGTCGAGACACACAAAACCAAACTCGTCATTATACCTTTGCAAGGTTATGGCACCTTTTGTCTTCGCGCCTCATGATATATATGTGACCCGAAATTATCCAGATGATAGTAATAACTACAAGTCCTCCACCCACCATGGCGGGTTCGATTTGTTTCAAGCAAGAGATGCCTCCAAGGATCTGATCTTCGATATTTTGAAGAAGAAGGTTTCAGAAATCGATATCCATAATTGCCACCCTGGCGAGGAAGATCCCTTTTATGTGGCGGATTTGGGCCAAGTCTATCGCCAGCACATCCGCTGGAAGAAGAATTTAGGACGTGTGAAACCGTTTTATGGTATGTGATTTAACTACCCCCAGTGCCCTGTTTCGAGACTCTTGAATCCTGACTAACTCAACTCTTCCAGCCGTCAAATGCAACCCCGACCCTCAAATCCTTCGCCTTATGGTTCAACTGGGAAATGGCTTCGACTGCGCGTCAAAAGCAGAGATTGACTATGCTCTTGATGTGGGCGTGGACCCAAGCCGCATCATCTATGCCCAGCCGTGCAAGACGAAGTCCTTTCTCCGCTATGCTTCCCAAGTGGGAGTCAAACAAATGAC